ATTAAGAAATAAACATGAAAATGAAGGTGTGAGCAAAGTGTAGATAAAGTGTACGGTGGTCTGGCATGTTCACGCGGGTAGCAATCGGAATAATCGAAGACGTTGAGCACGTACACTTCTCTTCATTCCATTTTGTTATTAAAAATCATATTCATTTAATTCATTATTATTGTTCATTGATTCAAAGTCATTTATTGCAACGACCCGCTAAATTATTTATAAACTTAATACTTAATTAATTTGGATAGCAAAATCAATTTGATAATTTGAATTATGTATGAACAATTTAGATTTAAGCTATTTTGCAAAGACCAATTCATAATAATTTACTTTGGTAGCAAACAGAAAATATCTAATATAATAACGTTTAATTTTGATATAATAACCATCTTTAGGAGAGAGTTGTTAAGTATTAGACAATTAGTATGCATTGGCAACACTAATAGTATATGACATTTAATGTCTTGGCCGTAGTATAGTAACAAACACTGTCATAGTCATAAGAACATATTTAATAAAGTCTTCTTGATCCGACCACCAAACACATGACTGCCACAATAATAGAAAATGAGAGCTATTTCTTTGCGACATCAACAAAAATCAAAGTATGGGAAAATGCGATGGGAAATCGTCCACAAAAGAGCTAATCGGCAGATACATCTTGCACTTGAAATCAACGACATTCATAATAAAACCACATAAAATCTTTAAATCAACGCCACAGAAATGATCATACCGCGCATAGCACCGACATTTGTTAGGGTCCACTTCCACCCGTTGAAAAAATATCGACCACACAGATAATAGTGGCAATAACTGTCACGGCCGAACAAAAAAGACCTGATTTGGTGTAGCTTTCGGCCAAATCGAAAGAATTTTGCCAATCGTTCTGATTACTATCAGTCGGAATTGGCGAAATATTTTCTGATGTAGGTGTTGACATCGCTATCTATTCTTTTTTTACCAAGCGGCTCCTAACGGTTAATTTTTAGGTTATGTGTTTGTTTATGTATTTGTTTATGTTTATATTGGTGAGTTTGTCATTTGACAGATTTGAGTTTTTGTCATGTATATGTGTTTGACATTTGACAGATTTAAATATTTAACATTTTATTGATTTTTCAACACCACGTAGTTTCGTTAAATATATTCGAATTACTTTTTACAGTTTAAAAGGCGTTTTAAATAAACTATGGTTATTAGTTTAGCATTAAGATGAATTTTTTAAAAGCAATATAAAAATTTTATTCTGGAGACAAGGAGAAAATCGATTTTACAAATAATGCTATTCAATTGTCCCCAGAAACAACCCATCAAGGCAATGACCAAAATGGGATCAAAAACATTCCAAATCCCAAAATTGGTGCTCTGGGGGTTCAGGAGGTAAGGTGTTCTGAGGGTAATTTTTCGTGGGGAATCCAAGGATTTGGAAGGTTTTTGGCCCCATTTTGGTCATTGCCTTGATGGGTTATTTCTGGGGTCATTTTTACCCCCGAGGAGAGGGCATTGACCCTTCCTTTGATGATATTTTTTTTGTCTTATCAAGGGCTACAATATTGCCGAAGAAAGTATTCGAATATTTGGCGTCGTTTGAAAGATATAGATGATCGTATATAATACAAAAAGGAGATTTTCAGTGATTCAAGACGGCGTACCCAGACACCATATCAATTTGGGGAAAAAAAATTGATGCCAAAATTGTTTTTTGGACCCCTCTACCACATCTAATAGGAATTTTGAGGAAAAAATTTCCGAACGCTGGGAATGTTTACTGGTGAGTTATCGTGTTAACAAATTTTTGCGTACAGAGGATAAGTACAAAACACTTCTTTCGAAGTTCCCACTGTGACGCAATACTATAAATCTAGAAATATTCTGATATAAATTTTTAGTGACGCGTTCGTTCATATGTATACAAAATGTTAATATTGCGTCTAGTTTGAAAGGCAAGGGTTCATTTTTATATTATTTTGACCCCCGAAAAAAAAATAATCACATATTTGGTCCTCAACAAACGCCTAGTTTATTGATTTTTTTTTTCATAGACATTTTTTTTTTAAATTTGGATTACGTTAAAAAAGTCATGGTCATTTTTCGCCGAAAATGTCACATAACACGTCACTTGCCGGCCATTTTTGAAAATTTTTCCATTTTGATTTCGGATTCAGATAGGTGAGTTTCGTACCTTTCCAACGACGTATAAATCATTGTTGCAGATGGACAGAAAAATGTCCGATTGATGAAAAGGCACATGTATTCTCAGTTTTCCATCTACTTTCAATAAAAATTGGTTTCAAAACTTTTTTTCAAAAACTACGGAAAAAAATGTACATACAAACACCCCAAGCGACCAATTTTGAGGTTTTCGGCCATTTTTGGCGAATTGATCATATCTCGTCCACTTTTCAATCGATCGTGATGATCTTTTTTAACATTATCTACGCGGTCCCTAGATCCTGAATATGGCCATATTTTTTTTCGAAATGAATTTTCAGCGATTTATTCAAAATGCCACCTGGCATTGGTGTTGTCGCAATTAAACTGGTCCAGTTCACATCTTATTTTACTACTCTCGTGAGTTTTGAATTTTAAGTTAAATTAAATAAAAATAAAAAATGGAATCCTAACTCAAAAATGTAAAAAAAATATTTTTTTTTGAAAAAATCGTTACACAGCTTACCAACCATTTCATTTCTTTTGCTAATTTGATACTTTGTGTAACATTTGCCGGCTGCTTAATTTCCCCTTACACACTGCTCAAAAAATGCAAAAAACGGCCCAATCTAGTGGCCAACTTAGCCTCGGTCTTCCCTACACTTCGGAACAAAATATTTTACAGGAAAGTACAGTGTACACATCTTGTACACATGGTAAGGTTATTACGATGAAGAAAAAAACGAGGACACGTCTACTGTGAAATATATGGATAGTAGTAGTATGATACTATTTGGTACCATCAAATATGGTGGTACCATACGAGATCATTGCCGAAAATGGATTAAATAGAAAAAATCTGATTTATAACTGATATTGTAGCTTGAAAAATGTTATCAATGAAAATGCTATTTATAAACTTTTTTATCAATTCAAATGAGTCCCGTCAATAACCGTATCGGTTGATAATAAAATCACGCACACGTTCAACATTAATTTAAAGTGAAATATGTTTTTTGTTTTTATCAATATGACCACTGACCATAATTATTATTATAAACATTTGATATTTTTATTTGGTCGACAGTTCCCAAAAAGTGCGCATTGGTTAAGCATCTACAAATACAGATACTTTTAAAATATGCGTTTTGCGGTTTCTTTTTGTCTTCTTTGTGTCATAGCAATGTGAGTTTTATAACGAAATTGACCTTCAATGGGAATTCTCAAAGCCAAAAACAATAAATACCATATAACTTTATTCAGAGCATCAAGCGTAGCCGAACTTTTTGACGCCAAAATAAATGCATCAGATCAGTTGTTTCCGGACGATTTTCTTTTTGGTGCCTCAACGGCAGCATATCAAATCGAAGGAGCATGGAATATGGATGGCAAAGGACCATCAATATGGGACGAATTCACTCATTTTCACCCGGAAAAAATTGTTGATCACCAGAATGCGGATGTTAGCACCAATTCCTATGAGTATTTTTTGGATGACATTAAAGCAGTAAAAAATCTAAGTGTATCGTCTATTTCATTATTTGTTGCTTATTTGCCGTTCTAAGACCGTTTCTTTTGTATAGATGAATTTTTACCGTTTTTCAATTTCGTGGTCTCGTATCTTGCCTACTGGGGATATCGCCGAAGTAAACGAGAAGGGAATTCAATACTACAATATATTAATAGATACACTCATTGAATACAAGCTGCAACCAATGGTAACGCTCTATCATTATGATCTGCCTCAGTATTTACAATCATTTGGTGGGCTAACAAACTCGATTATTATAAGCTATTTTGAAGCATATTCCAACTTATTATTCGATCGTTTTGGAGATAGAGTCAAATATTGGATTACTTTTAATGAACCATCCGATTTTTGTACAGCCGGTTATGGTATTATTAATATTTGATAATTTTGGAATCAAGCATTCAATTTGCCTATATAATTTTTCAGGGGGATCATACCACGCACCAGCTTTGAATGCACACGGAATAGGTAAAAAATCGTATGTTATTTATTTGTGGGAAATCTATATGGTGTGGGAGATTAATCGACGAATTTCAACCTCATACAACTTATACATTATACAATAATTAGAACATATGTGTGCGTAAGAATAAATATGGCAATA